TAAGATGCACGGTGAGGCTCGATCGGTACAGGCGGGGAAGCATCGTTGGACAGCGGGACTTGCAAAGCCTGCTGTACTTCACTCCTGATGAGGCTGGAGATGGATCCCGCAGCAGGTGGAGGCGGCCCGTGAATCTTCTGCAGCTCGTCGCGTACCACCGATCTGATGAGGTCGCAGAGAGCTTCGAGATTGACGTTACTCCCCGCAACTCCAATCTGGTCCACCGGCGAGGCAACATTCACGTGGCGGTCGTACACAGCTGATCGCTGCTGCAGCATGTTTTCCATTGTCGTTGCTTCAGTTAAAAACTCTGCCACAGTATTCGGGGGACTTCGCACGAGACCAGCGAAGAGTTGCTCCTTAACTCCTCGCATTAGGTGGCGCAACTTCTTGTCTTCTCCCATACCTGGGTCAGCGCGACGGAAAAGGCTCGTCATGTCCTCCACGTACGCCATCACGCTCTCGTTCGGCATTTGGATGCGTGATTGGATGGCCCGTTCCGCTCGTTCACGGCGATGGGGGGTCAGCGTAACTTGCCAGCAGCTGACGGCAAAACATCGTCCACGACGAGAAGGGTTCGCGGTTCTCGTACCAAGTACGAGCTCCGTCCTCAAGGCTGAAATATACATTCCGCAGCTTGTTGGCGTCGGTCCATTCGTTGAAAGCCGCAACGCGTTCAAAGTGAGCCAACCAGTCCACAACATCCTCCAACATGGAGCCACGGAACACCTTCGGCACTCGTGGCTTCTGCAGCGTGTAATTAGCCATCGGAATATTTTCCGTACCGCTCTGGGGTGGTGCAGTTGATGCCATCTCCGGTAGAGGTTCACGCTCGGGGGACAATCCTCGGATTCTCCGGCTGGCCCGGTGGACAGGTGTTGCGACTGCGGGTATAGGGCTCCCAGGAGGCGTTTGGATCATTGACTGGGAATACCCAGCGACTCCACCAGTTGTCGCGCGTGAACAAGAGGGACTTCAGGTAAAGAATACCGCGTAGTCACAGAGGCGCAGGTCAGGGACACCACAACCAAAAAAACAAAAGCCTCGGCGAGAGCGCGCTAGCCCAACAACTTCTTCCTCGTTTCTTCTCCTCGATGCGGGCTCGTGCTCGCCGCAGTTCATGGCCAGGTGGCACTATAGTCTGTCTGTTATACAAATGATTACAAAATTAATTTTGCGCATATGTGGCTGATGCCATGCGCAGCATTGACAGTTCTCGCGTTGTACATTTGTGAACGATGTAGCGGGTTCGTTGCCCAACCACGAACGCCATCAAGAAAAAGAAATACGCTCGAAGAGCCATGGTACGGGCCAGCTAATCGTACATTGAGCAGCGAGCACTGTACATAGCGTACGTTCATGCCCTTAGCATTGTGTGCCCGATAAAGAGAGGCGAGGAGAGTTATTCATTGTTGGGCGCTCCAATTCTAAGTTGTGGCTCAACACAAACGAAATACGAGTAAACCATGGCAGGAAATCACTACGTACACACACAAAAAAAGGAAGAAGAGGACACAAATTTATGCGTTCTCTGCGTGTTTTGTACACCAAGGTCAATCAATCAATGAGTCAATTGATCGATCAATTGATCCGGGAAGCTTTATGTGTAGATTTTATGTCTTTCACTAAAAGATTCCTTGGCTGATATATGCAGCTGTTTTGAAGGACAAGTTTCAAAAATTAACAGGACATCACTATAAACTGTATTCTCGCACGCTATTGAGCCCCAAGTCGCATGGGCAAAAAATATGCTTTTTCGAACCACGCAGCAGAATTAAAGTGCGAAATCCGCATACGTCCGTTCCATTTACGCCGCAGTTCAACATAGCCACTGTTGGCGCGGAGCGCTTCCCTCTGCAAGGCGAAGGCTAGCAGGTATGTACGTACCATACATACATCGCCCCCGCATTCGTATATATACGCTTGCACGGCAGGATCATCGAGGCACGGCACGACCCACACAGCTGTTTCATACGGCGGGCCCTAGGCGTGGTCAGTGATGTACGAACGTCCGAACGATGGACAGTCCTGCCATTCACTGGGCAAGTGACGACGCGACGGACCCGCGACAGTTGACCGGACAGGACGAGGTCGGCCACGACGAAGGTGTGAACCCACGTGGTGACCATGTCCATGCAGCGGCGTTGTTGAGTGCGCAGAAAAATGGTGCTTGCATCGAGGTCATCGTTGCGGAGGCGCTTTAGTAAAGTAGCGTATCTTCCGCAGGCACCCATTCGTTGGCACGGAAGAGAAAAACTCGCCCCATGCACGCGCTGCTCAGAATTCTAATGAACAGCTATATCAGTAACGACTGGCTAACAAGTCAAGTCCAGTTCCTTGAAGTGTGGCAGCTTGGACTTGTTGGCATGACATGACGATAGTTATAGCGCGAGATCGCGCTATAACCAGTTCCTTGAGTCTGTGGCGCCCACCCACGCTGCATGCGCACCTCTTGTTCTTGTTCTCGTTGATATTCTCTTGTGGCTCCCGTCCTTACTTTTCTATGCTATCCGTAACGAAATTTCTTCTTTAAGTTGAAACTTGACGATGCTGGCATTAATGATTGTGATAATGACGACCCTGGTAATGATGATGTTCACGACTGCGCACACAATTCCGTTCTACATAGTTGCTTATGCTTCCCACACACATGTGGGTGAAATATAACAAATAACGTTTCGCTCGCCCCGCCGCGGCGGTCTAGTGGATAAGGTACTCGTCTGCTGACCCGCAGGTCGCGGGTTCGATTCCCAGCTGCGGCGGCTGCATTTCCGATGGAGGCGGAAATGTTGTAGGCCCGTGTGCTCAGATTTGGGTGCACGTTAAAGAACCCCAGGTGGTCGAAATTTCCGGAGCCCTCCACTACGGCGTCTCTCATAATCATATGGTGGTTTGGGGACGTTAAACCCCACATATAAATCAACGTTTCTGTCGCGGTCTAACGTTTTGCTTCCCCGCAGACGCGACCCGCGTGCCGTTCCCACGCCTTCCGATTGCGACCTTGCGCGCGCAGACGCAACTCGAGGCGCGTGCAATGCGATACAGTGATCGAGACACAACACATGCATACGTGGACCGGCTTCATACGTGCCCGAAGCTACGCCACACGAATTCTGCAGGTTCTTTATCAGCGCATTCTGAATGAATGCTCCCCCGGTTAGTTATTTGTAGGTTCGTGTTTTTTCCCTTACCAAGTTCGACCGCAGCAAGCGCGTATCTCCGGGCGCCGCAAAAGTGATAGCGACGACAAGATAACGGAAAGAGTTATGAGTGTTATGAGCGGAGGCCGAGATATAGACGCAACGAGCTTTCCTAGAACAAAGTCACAGTCGTACCTATATGTAGTATATACAGCCATAGCGGCACGCCCTTCTGTTTCGCGGCTCATAGGAAACAACAAATGGGCCTTGTCTCTGAGAGGTCCGCTGGAAATGCGAAGAAGCGAGCCTGTATCCCTGCAACATGCAGATTGTGTGTTTTTTTATTTACTTGTATCGTGTAACGTCTGCTAGTGCTTTTCTTTTCTAGTTTATCTTGCTCTATATATCCTGGGTACATGTACTTGCAGCAGATCACTATAAAAAGAACACCCCCCCCCCTTTTTTTAATAATCAAATTAATGCAAGAAATAAGGTAAACTTGTGTAGTTGAACGAACAAGTAGTTTAAATCAGATTTCCGCGGGAATAATCCCGTTGAACCGTGGCATGTTTTAATGGGGGTCGTTTTATGGAAGTTTTATGACTAAGTGAGGCGCTCGTAATAATATTAAGGGTGCCGTTGCCGGATATTACAACAGCACATATTGCATTTGTTTGAAAGAAAGTGAAAGGCTTCGCTGCATTTTTTGTCCTCGCACCAGTCACATCATGTCTGGTGCTTCCCACGTCTGTTACGTCTTTTTCCATTCTATGTTTATTGCGTTAGCGATAGAAGCATGCACGCATGAGTGTCGGCAGGATTTTGTCTTGAAGGGGGCAAAACTACTGCATCGCGGCAGGAGGGGGGTTTCAGGGGCGCAGTGCAGGCGTTCAGGGGCGCAGTGCAGGCGTTCAGGGGCCGGCTCTGAGGTGGGCAAGTGTCCCATTTGCACCCCCCCCCCCTCCCCACCATCGACGCCCCTGGAACCGTCAGCTCGGGAAAAGGTGTCTCGTCTCGTGAGTCGACCATACACAATCCGGAAACTTGTGAGCCACTGTTGATGGGTGTTTGACGAAAAGGCTATACCAGCCGTGAAGCCACGATGTAAAATACAGCACTTTGGGCCGATAGTATACAGAAGATTGATGCTACTCGATAACTACTTTTTTTTATGCTGTACAAAAACCATTTGACCACAACACCACACGTGCACACCCGATTCAATGGAACATAAGTATTCCAGACGTGCGTACGTTTTCCACAGCGCTGAAGGTTTATTGTCGGCCTCGACTCGAGAAGCACCATTGAGGTGCTGGCGGCACCTTTGGTACCTCTTACAATCCAGAATTGCTTGGACCTGCCTTTTGCCCCATCATCAGAAGAAGTGCGCAATAATTCGCATTTGTTCTGTACTTGTGTACCCTCTCTAACGGCGGACCATTGAGTATAGGAGATTTAATCACTATGCAAGAGCATCATTGTGCCATTGATGTGCCATATCTTCTTTCCCCCACCGTTGTACCTGTAGCACATGTGAGAACGTTGGTTCGTTACTGCCACGACATGAAGGTGTAGTAATAAGTGCGCGTATATCACTTTCCAGAGGAAAGGGGGCGACGTTCCGAAAAACAACAACGAATGTCGAGATCGGAAGCCGCAGCGGTAACGAAAAAGTGACGGAGAATCTATGCGTCAGCGCCGACGACGCGGTTGTCCCGCGTCTTCGACGGCATCGGCGATAAAATAGCAGCGCGCGTTGGGCCGCAGCGTTTACGCAAGGCGGCGAGGCGAGAGCTACCAGGCGAGGAGGGCAACGGAAGAGGAACTCGACATGGGCGCCCACTCACTAGCGCTGCAGCAGGAGACCGGCGCACGAGGCCGCCCAAGCCGTCCGCCGGAGAGCGAGCGTAGCAACCACTTGGACGGCAACAACGCCTGTACGCGCCGCGCCCACCGAGCGTCGCGCCTCTCACAGAAGCTGCAGCGTGTCCCCTCCAAGCGAACGCAACAGGGGGTGTGCAGAACAGAGTTGCCGTCGAAATCTTCGCAAATACCTTCACCGTTTTTCGCGAATATACCGTTGCGTGTGTGACTGCGGATCGCTGCGGACTCTTGGGACAACAGCCGCGTCTTTCTGTGTAAATGATCTCCGAGACGACGCAGACGACGACGTCGTCTTGACGGTCCCCCTGGGTTGCGTAAGCGCGTAACATTGACTGGCACGGACCAGGATGGCGGACCAGGAAGCGGGTACGTCCAGGAACAACAACGCAGTCGGTGTCGCCGCCACAAACGGCACAAGCAACCACGTACCGCATCGCAACAGCATCCACGCACCAGCGGGCAGGACGACAGAAGACACCATTTGTCCGGAAGATGTGAGTACACTGTTGTGCGATACGGCATTAACTGTCTGCGTTCAGCCCTTTCCTCCCAGTCGCGGCCGAATGCGCGTTGTAAGTGGCAACTGTGTCGTTACTTTCGTGGAGTCGTTAGTGGGATTGAAAACTTGCGACTGATTTAAGGGACATACACATCTTTAATGAAAGCTGGAGATTCCAGCCAGTGCAAGTAGTCGGCATGCTACTTCAACTGATTACGAATGGGCTGGTGCGAATGGTTCGTTACCGATACAAGTCTCTAATCAACGTAGATCTGTCAAACGCGTCTCTGCTCCTGCGGAGACTGTAATGATTGATACTGCAAAGATCAGCTGGCCCGGATGACCAACGGAGATAACCGTCGCTGAGATGAGCCTTCAGAATGACGACGACCTCCAGGCACGACTTCTATTGAAAGGTGCACGCCTTAGGGACTATATAGGAGCTGAAAGGGAGCGTGGTGATGCGAGCGCGAGATGCCGCACGTAGCTTCGGTAGTATAGTGTAGACGACGTGCACCTGTACGCCTGTCGTAGTGCTCTGGGTGCTGGACGCCAGCCAGGGCGGCCTTCACGGATGAGCACACGCGCGTGAGCGAAAAGAAAGGCGCAGCAATCGCGCTGCACACCCCACCGAACACGGGCGGCATTGTGCCCCGCCCGGACGTAACCGTGAAGTTTATGTGCTATTCATAGGTTTTAGTTTTTGCCAGATTCCACGGAAAAGCCACGACCAGGTTATACCTGGCCCCCGGAAGGGCTCGGTAAAGTTTCACGGCTCAGCAGCCAAATCCTAACGCGGTGAGCTTACAAAGAAGTTACAATGTTGAAGAGATTATATTCCACGGCATGCCCCGCCGCGGTGGCCTAGTGGCTAAGGTACTCGGCTGCCGATCCGCAGGTCGCGGGATCGAATCCCGGCTGCGGCGGCTGCATTTTCGATGGAGGCAAAAATGCTGTAGGCCCGTGTGCTCAGATTTGGGTGCCCGTTAAAGGACCCCAGGTGGTCGAAATTTCCGGAGCCCTCCACTACGGCGTCGCTCGTAATCATATGGTGGTTTTGGAACGTTAAACCCCACATCTAAATCATCATTCCACGGTACGGAGAAATCGTTGTGGCGTTGCGCTCGAAATATTAACACCCGATTGATATAGGAGATAGGTGTTATCCTCTGTTAATATGTTTAGACGGCTCAGATAAACAGGCCGGCCTTTTACAAACAGTAGCGACAATTCGACAGCATTTTTGTAGGCATTCAGAAACGAACAAGATGACACGCCTTTAAATGCAAGGGCTTTCCTGGCAGCTCATGTTGTCCAACTTGTGAGAGCGAGCTCTCTTTGAGCGTCCTGCAGTGAAGACGCACCGTACACATGAGAACGAGAGACTCCGCCTGTCAATCAACTTCGTTAGTAGAGCAAGCAGAGTCTCATCATTGCGACATTCCTGTAAGGTTCTGGAAAAGACGCACTTCCACGAGCGAAACACATTGCGCACGAGAAAAACACATTGCGCTGCGTTTAGTTTTCTTGCTTTTTTTTTGCTTCGTTTCTTTCGAGCACCGCCGTTAAGAAAAAAAAAAACACAGATAGACAAGATGACGCGCACACTGGGCGCATGTCGCAGGAGGCGAAATGGGCTTGCTTTTGTGCACATACACAGTCATCATTTCCTTTATAGTGTGCCAATGCTCACGTCGTCGCACTCTCGCGAAAATCGAATCGTAGAAAGAGGGAGAACTGTTGCCACACAAATATTTCCGCTAACGTGTATCTGACTGCCCGCGTTCTTCTAACGTGAAAAACGACGTATGAGAGAGAGAGAAGAGAGAGAGTGTATTTCAATGGGGAGCTGGTGAGGTTTGCCTGGTTTTTCAGGCTAATCCAGGTGCCGAGTGATGGCAATGGTACATAGCAATGGATAAACACACAACACATACAGTTACTACACGCAGTCATATAACACATACAGTCACTCACACGTACTACACTATTTACAAAGTTTCGTTCAAGCCTGTGGCCCGTAAGAATGTCAGTAGCACTTTTGTGGAGTCTAACGCACTGTAGCTGTTCTGCCATATGCCTAGAATATTTTTCAAATCCAAGTTTGTGTCATGTTGCATTTTTAAGGCCATCTTCAGAGACTGTCTCTCTGATGTGTATATCGTGCACGCACAGAGGACGTGGTGCATGGTGCATGTCTTCAACGACGTTACATTGTGCACAAAATTCTGAGTCTGACAGTCCAATTTTCTTCCTGAAGTAATTCGTATATGCAACGTATAATCGGATGCGGTGTAAACAAATGGTGAAATGGTAAGGACTTAGGAGAGGACCTGAGAGAGAGCTCGACGAATACTACATTGAGTAAATAAAAAACATTAAATAGAGAATAAGAGGGAACGAAGTTTTTTTTTTTTTTTGTCATTCTGACATACTATGTTGTTCGTCAAAAGGCGTTGAAGCTGCTTGGATGTGGTCTGTCATGGTAAGGTAAAATGTTCTAATGCAATGAATTTTTCGACGCACAGCCAATGAGCGGGGTAACCGTACGAGTATACCTACTACTACTACTACTACTACTACTACTACTGCTACACCCTGATAATTATAAACATACAAGTGTTACGACGAGAGCTAATGCTGCGAGTACCACAAACAATTAACACCACTGTCACTCTAAATATCGCAAATACATATGCATGACTTTATTAAGGCTTGGATTGCGGCATCGATGCAGTTCCGTGAATGGAGACAGAAATCGGCGCAACCTTTGCAATGTCTCAAAAAAAATGCGACGCGCAGCTCATACTAACGCCTCGCGAAGCCGCCTTCGCAGCTCCACACAGACGAAGGCGTCATCTCACGCACGCATCGATTCCCATGCCCCCTGGCTCTTTCTCCTCTCGTTTCTTTTCCCGGCCTTGAACGGAAAAGTGTTGGGCTTGTGCAACGTGATCGTGTGGCTCTCTCTCATCTCCCCTCTCTAGAGCGATCGAGACGGGTGATATAGGGCGAGAACTCTATTGAGTATGATCCGGTTTTGACTGCCCTAATTTCTTGCGCTTGGCTGATCCGGATAGCGGGAGCGCTGCTTAATTAATTGTGTGTGAGCAATATATATATATTATATATATATATATATATAATATATATATATATATATATATATATAGAAAGAAAAGTGGGTGAAAAGACTTTTACTTCTTCACATTTACATTAGAATTCAGTCCATTAACTTCCCCTATACTTTCCTTGGCATTATTGTCAGTTAAATCATATATATATATATATATATCTGTGTGTGTGTGTGTGTGAGATGGCAATCTCGCATATGTAGCGTACACATGGGACATGCATTGCTCTTGGTAGAAAGGGGCAGCGGAGAAAAGTAAAGTGTAATGAAAATGTGTTAATTATCCTTAATTATACCCCAAACACTAAATATTTTTGTTTTTCCTCGACTCCCTTACTGTTTTTGTACAACGCTATTAGTTTCACGAGAAAAAAGCATCTAACAGATGCGGGTCCTAAACCAGAAAGGAGGGGGAGGGGGATAACAATACTAACACGAAGATGAAGGAGAAGAGGAGAAAGAAGAAGGCAGTTCATTTGATGATGATGCTTCGGAGCACGTTGACAAATCCACAGGTGATAGAATTAAACCACATCCCACCATTCTGTATCTCATTGCACATACAACGGGTTAATCACTGTTCGCGGCATTTGTTAATATTTACGTGTCAACTAACGAGCCCGGTTTAGATGGAGCGCGGACGAATAAATTGCCGCTTTGATTAACTAATTACATGAGCAAGTAGCGAGACCGGTTTGTACAACATCTAGTTAGTGTCCACTATATTTACAGCTACCTAGCGATCTGCAGAAGACTGCCGTCAATGAGAAAAACATCGACAACGCACGCACGCACGCACACACACACACACACACACACACACACACACACACACACGCACACACGCGCGCACACACGCACACACACACACACACACAACACACACACACACACACACACACACACACACACACACACACAAATCGCACAAGAAGTCCGTACATGGGGGTTAACAAGCGAGGCTGAATCTATACCTTTAATCCTATCCTCTGAATCCCTCCTTATCCCTTGTGAGCTACTGTTGAGGTGTCGCACCAGATGCAGACAGTTACGGGGCTCATTTTTCTATTCTTTTCCTTCTTATAACCACAATGAAACGATTGGCCGCGTTGTCCAGGCGTTTATCACGAGCTGGGATCTATTGAAGTGTCTTGGGTTGTAGCTTTCGATTTATCTACCATTACGTTTGGGAGATGCGTGTATCAAACCTAGCGTTTCGAGACGTTAACTTAGAGGATACCTATAAAGGATTTTATGAGATAGCGATTCACTCGGCGGCTGGTATCATCCTATAGCCACATTTACTGACGAAACCTGAAGAAAAACGTGCGCAAGCGTGGAAACTGTCCAGGAAGCGTCTGCTATAGCATTGCTTCTTCATTGCACTTTTTGCGCACTCAGAGATAGTCAAATTTTGCCACCTCCGGGCTTCTCCGTGAAACAAAATGAAAAAAGTATAGGACGACTTCCACTCAACCTAAGTCGACTCTTGAATGCAGAAAAAAAAAATGATAGAAAGGCGGACCAAAAAGCTGATGCTCGACATATTCACCGATAAAATTTTAAAAAATGACGAAGACACAAAAAAGAAGAAGAAAAAACCACACACACACAGAAAGCGAAGACACTTTGTCATCGTCACGGCTCTGGTGACGACGCAGACTATCTTTGTCATTTCTTTGCGGTCAGTATGTCAGGCAGTACGAACATACCAACCACGGTGGTCTAGAGGTTATAGCACTTGACTACTGACGCGAAGGCCGCAGGACTGCCATTCCCGGTTGCGTCGGGAATGGCGCGACCGGTAATGGCGCAACCGGGAATGGCGAAATCGTCGGAGGCGAAATGCTATAAGCCCGCCC